AGAATGGGGAGGAAAGAATGGGGAGGAAGGGAAAGAGGGAGGAGGGAGGGAAGGGGAGGGAGAGAGAGAGGGAGAAGGAGGGAGAGAGGGAGAGATGGGGAGGGAGGGGGAGGGAGGGAGAGGTCAAATATAATGAAGCAGAAATCGGGGTAACTTTGGACTGGTTGACAGCAACATTTGAAGCTAGCAGGCCGTGGAATAACGGCTTCAAAATTCTGAAGGGAAATTATTTCCAAACCAGCCAAGGTATTAGTTCAGTCTGAAGGTTGAGTGAAGACATTTTCAGATCTGCAAGACTCAGAGATTTGCCTCCTCTGCACTTTTCCCACGAAACCACAGAAGCTGTGTCACCAGAACGAAGGAGTGAACCAAGAAGGAGGAAGCCTGGGACGGAGGGAGTGAGACCCTGCAGGACGGTGTCCCAGGGGGACGGGGGCCCAGGGGGACAGGGCCTGGTGGTCCTTGGATGCCGGCCAAGTGCCAGACTGGAGCAGGTCAGAGGCCCTGGGAGACATTTCTCCAAGAAGACAAAACTGATAGAAGAGCGAATGTGCCTGAAGGCCCCGAGACAAGGTTGGACCGCTGCCAGAACGTGGAGCTGAATTAGTGATAAATACATGGAAAGAGCTGAGCACATGACCAGACACGGTGATTCACCAGGAGAAACAAGTTCTGCAGGAGAGGCATCACTGTCCTTTCCTGAGGGCACAACCATGAACAGTCAAGCGTGTGCTGGTGGGACTCGATGGCCAACCAGGATCAGGAGAGGCCGGTGACGGTGATGGGAGGCCGGGGGGGCGGTGAGCAGGGGCCACATCCTCACCTCCCACGTGGGAAGCGAGCAGATGGCACCAAAATGGAAGTTTTGAATACCAGCAGCGCACTCATGTCACTCAGACACGCGGAGGTCACCACGCGCAGTAACGGGCACAAGGCCCGCAGAGAGCTCCCTCTGGGGCAGGGCAAGCGAGAGGAACTGGCACCGAACCACGGACTCCAAAGTGTAACCTCGTGGAACTTCCATGATATCCAACATAAGACCAAGCCGAAGAGAAAAAACCAGAAATGCATGTCACGTAAAATTCAGTTATGAAGCATAGACACAAAAGAAGTGTCGCCGAGCTCACCGCACCAGCCGCCCGCCGAATGGCCAGCTGCACTCTCTCCGTTCTGGGCTCTGCATCCCCAGCTTGCGCTCACCACGGCCTTCCACACGTGTGCACGCCCGAGAGGCATATGGTTTAGCTCGGCCTGTCTCCGAGTGCCATAAAAACCAAGTCACACTCCAGCAGTATGGTCCCCAGCGGTCCCCTTCCTCCTCCTGCACATGCGTTTGTAATCCCGTCCTTCTGACCATGGGCTGGACCACGCGGCTTCTTTCTAACATGTGGCGGAAGTGATGGGCTATCACCTCTGAAATCCCATGATGAGAAGACCGCAGCCTCTGTCTTGGGCGAGCTCTACCTTGGGAGAAGCCCCTTGCCCTGCCAGGACGTGAGCCCATGGAGAGGCCTGGGGGGTGAGGGGCCACAGCCCGCCCACAGCCCGCAGGGTGAACCTGGAAACAGAGACCCTTCTCTAGTGCCTGGAGAGCAGCCCACAGGGCGGCTGGCAGCTTGACCACAACTTACGAGAGACTTTGAGCCAGAGGCACCCTGTTAAGCTGCCCCTGAATTCCTGAGCTGTTGCAACTGTGAGATAGGAAACATCTGCTGTTTGAAGCCGCTAAATTACGGGACGACTTGTTATGCAGCAATAGGTAGCTGGCACATGGAACTCTTCTGTGAGCTGCGTCCTTGCACTCGGCACGCAGGCTGATCTGCGTGGCCACGGGCTTCCCGTCCTGGACATGATGCATCTTGTATTCATTCACCTGCTGATGGACATCTGGTCTCCAGCTTTGTTCTCCAGTGAGCAATACTGCTGTCCACAGCCTTAACCACAGCTCCCGGCACATTGTCTTAGAGTGTCTCTGGGCCATGCACCTTAACAGCGGGTTTGTGGACTTTTAGGGCATGTGCATATCCAACTTCGTTAGGAAATGCCAAGTGATTTTCCAAAATGGCAGCACCGTTAGGCTTCCGCCAGCAGTGGATTACAATTCCTGTTGCTCCGTGTCCTCATCAACACTCACCATCATCCATCATCTGACAAGTTTTGCCCAACTAGTGGGTAAACTGGTACCTCATCATGCTTTTACTCAGCATTTCTCTGATGAAAGCTGGAGTATCTTTTCATGTTTATTGGTCATGTTTCCTCTTCTGTGAAGTATCATTCCTGTCTTTTGCCCATTTTTCCATTTCTTTGTTTTTATCTGTTTTTCTTATTGGTTCTAAGAGTTCTTTTTATATTCTAGATAAGAAGAACTTTGTCAGTTTTTGTGTTGAAAATTCTTTTTCCAGTTTGTGCCTGTC